TCACAGCTATCTCGATTATTCTATCTTAAGGTCTGGGGCCATTCATCTTTTTTAATAAGAATATTTAAATTACAACGAAGAGCAATTAGAATCATAGACAATTTAGGATACAAAGACGATTGCAGAAAGTCTTTTACTTCATTGAACACTCTTACATTACCCTCTCTTTACATATACCGTTGCTTGCAATTTATTACTATGAATGTCAATCTGTATCCAAAAGTCAATTTCATCCATAATTACAGCACAAGACGTCAAGATATTTTATTTAAAAATTTACGACTAACAAAATCTAGAGATGGCACTAATTATGTTTGCATTAAACTTTTAAATGCTTTACCAAAAAAAGTACTTAGAAATAATTATACATCCAAAATTTTCTTGAAACATTTAAAAGCATATCTAATCGAGAAGGCCTTTTATTCATTAGAGGAGTTTCTAAATAATAATTTTGATGACTTAGTAGTGCAGTTTAACAATTCCTAACTTATCGTATATTTCATTATTAGATTATACTATATTGTATTAATTAGAAAATTGTATTTTAGAGTTGATGTTAATTATTATTATTAATCCATAATGTTTTCTTTTCTGTGACGTGTGTAAACTTATGTTTTTAGCACAAATAAAAAAATTCTATTCTAATTCTATTCTAAAATATATCAATAAACACGTTTTTCAATTACTCATTAATTAATTATTAGAAATAGAAAAAACACGGTTATAGTTATACAGATTTTTGGGTTGCATAACTTCAGATTAGTTTGAACAAAGTTTTCCGTTTTTTAATCAGAACAAGTTCGGTGTTTTAAATAGAACATACTCTTATTTCTACATGTGTGCTTACCCTCTTATTAGGACTTTACAAGCATATTTTCATATTATTTCATATGTCTTAACAATGCAAAAATTCACAAAAAAAAAACAACAGTATGGTTATTTTTAAGATATATGATCCAATATTAGATGGAGAAATAAGCAAGAGGAGTTGTAATGGCAATCAATGAGTCTTAGTATACAGGGTGCTTATTCAAAATTTAAAATATTTTTCTAATATAGTGTCTGCAATTTCTATTGAAAGACCATTTGCGGATAGTAAATTTGGTAACGTTCGTATTCAAACAATTCAATAACTTGGCAAAGTTGCATCCAAATTTCAAACAAAACATATTTGCAAAGCCTGAGAAAATACCAATTAGAATATATAAAAATAAATAAATGGCTCCATAAAAAATTGTTTCTGCTGTTCAGAGCTGTAAAACTCTTATTCGTTTTTGTCTCTAATATAATTACTGGATTCAAACTCAACAATTTATTTCTTAATAACTCGGATTACACTATTACAGCAACTATGGACAAAATAACTTCGTGGCGCAACTTAAATGAATTCGCTCACTCGACTTCTTGACTTCGTTCTTGACGGTGGCCTCTATTTAAATCCATATTTCGGCGATCGAGCTCTTTCTCGAATTAAGTATTCACGACTTCCGCTTCGAGGCTTTTCGAGCGCCGCTTCGAGACTTCTCTGGGCTCGTCGCGACATCCGCTTGCAGGCTTTCCTTTAGTGAATGCCATGTCACCGCGGCCGATAAGTCACACTACATACGAGAAACAACGCATACCTACATATATGTACATATAAATATTTTTTAAGCACGTGTATTGTTTTAATGTATAATTATAAATTACTACTATTTAGAAAATATTTAATGAAATCATAACTCTGAAGGTGACAGCAAAGTTTTCTCAGATCTCTTTTTAAAGAAGTATCATCTATCTTTTTGAGCTATTCCAGAACTTTTCGACTTTTCTTATATATTTTTTTACTACATTTACTGTTTATATTTTTTGTAAATCATCTATTACATTTGGAATTTAAGCACCTTAAAAAATATTTAGGTTCTATCATCGTTCAAATAAATGATAAAATAGTGCTATCATTTAAAAACTATGCAGTGACGTGATAGTTCGGACTGGAATTATATTGTATGCAATTTTCAAAATTTTGTTGCAGTAGTAATTTCCACATCTATTATTTTTATTTCACCCCTAATCAAAGAAGATAAAAACTTAAATTAGTTAATTAAACTGAGCTGTATACATATAACTTACTTATAACATTGTAGTTTATTAGGGTTTGAATTAGCATCAATTCGTAAAAAAAATTGCTGGAATAGTAGCTGGACTGTTAGTTAGAGACACACCGTCTTTCAAATATAATTCCGGGAAATGTATTTTCTTATTTTAATTTTATTGAATTTTGAGTAAAAGAATGATTTACTATGAACTAATAGCAGTAGTAAGCAAGATTCATGATACTATTTTAGAGTACGAATCCCAAAATGAAGAAACTGATCATCCGACTGACGAGTTTTCTAAGGGATAAGTGCACTAAAATATTGTAAGAAACATGTATTTCATGCTATTTTTTCTACTTTTTTTACAACACAGTTTGGAATTGTCGTAGTTGGTATAACAAATGTCAAATTGTAACATCTGAAGTCAAAATTTTCACTATTATAAATTATTATTATCATCAGTAATAATAATAATTTCATAAATCTGATCACACTATACAAAATGGAAAAATCCAGTTTTCCATAGCCAGTAAAAAGGCGTAAGATTATAAGTGTTACAAGACCTGTGTAAAATACGATTTCTTATTACGTGAAGTTAAAGAATTTCGTTTACCTGTTATCAATTATTTAAACAATCCTGATATTTCCTGGAGCTTATTTTATAGTCAGCTATCATCTATGTTACTTAGATGCTCTTAATTCAGGGAATTTGTTGAGATTCCTCGCAAACCATGGATCAACTCATATTTTCTCAATCAAATTAGTCTCAAAAAGAGCCTTTGGAACAAATACAAGCATTCTAATAATGTTCAGGACTATTACAATCATAGATCTTTTTCAAACGCACTGTCAAACAGACTAGCTAGTGCTAGATCTCAATATGAAAACCACATTGCTGATGATCACAAAAATCATAAACGTTTTTTCAAATACTTTCGATCCTATGTTAATGCAAGAGTCAGTATACCGCCGTTAAAAAAAGAGGATAGTACTATGTGTGATAATAATTATGCAGACGTTGCATCCATTTTTGTTGACACTTTTTCCTCTTCATTTACTGTTGAACCTTCTCCAATCGTATTGCCCAAAATATTAACTGGGAAAGTTTCTAACTCCATTTGTGAAGTTGCGTTTACTCCTGCATTGGTGAATACACTTATCAAGAAACTCAAAGATTCATTGGCACCAGGACTAGACAAATTATCAGCTAAAATACTAAAAACTTGTTCGGAGTTCCTCAGAGCTCGGTTTTAGGTCCACTGTTGTTTCTCCTACACATGGCTGATTTACCCTCCCCGAAACACGGGAAGCAGTGTCCAAATCAAAATGATGAAAATGATCACGTGGCAGTAAAACGGTTAATCATGAAAATCATTTTCAACATAATATAATGACCGTCGTCTTCATTGATTTGCTATTAAAGTGTCTCCAATTCGTTAAAACTGATACATGGTGGCACATACATCGGAGGGTAAGGGAATCTGTAATACCAGGTGAATGTCTGACCACGAGTCTGACTATTTGACGCTATTTGACAGAATTTGACATACTGGAGCACCACCGATAATGTAACGAGGCAGTAGTGTCATCGAGCGTAATGTGGTAGTATACTATTTAGAGCGAATAAATGAGATGATTTGAATTTCATTTCATATAAAAGCATTAATGTTATTAATTTAGACACATTAAACTTTGTTGTAGTACACTGAATAAAGGGATTACAAGCTTCTGTAACTCCCGAAGTGAGTGACATCTTTTGATATTTTCGCTTTTGACATGTCAGATGATTGTAACTTATTGGAGAGACTTTAATAGCGAATCAACGGAGACTACGATTTTGACAATCACCTTACTTGAATTAATCCAAGTCCCCAAGACTCATCCACTCTTAGGATTAATATGTGCAATAACTAATAACCATACATTTCATGGTAAAGTTTAAATCTAATTAAAAATAGTATTTCGTTTTTTTGATGGTTATTTTATTTGTTATTTTTAATGACATTGGTAATGACTACCAATCTTGAAAACATAAATTACACCAGTTCTATTAAATTACTTAATTTAGGTGCTTAATACCTCCGTTATGAACGCGAAGTAGAAAAATAACACTAATGCATTGCATGTACATAAGCAACCTTATTTTCATATCTATAGACATGTGAAAGGAATTCAATTTTTTAGAAAAAACCAAATAAACTTCTAAAAACCAAACAGTGCTTTAACATTTTCCCCCTTTCACTTTCATAACAAAATAGTTATTGCAAAACATTTTACAATGCATCAATATTAGTGCGTGTAATAAGGATAAATAGCCGACCACTAACCCAACAGGAAAACGAAAGGAACTTTTCTAATTGCGCCAACATAAAAATACAAATTATGTCCGCCACCGGTAAATTAAGCAATTTATGAGGAACGCCATTTGACATCTATCTATCAATTAGGTGTGACTCAATTTCCATTAATAAAATTTCACACAGCGTGTAATCGTATTGAAAAGCACAAAGAAAGTTTTGTCAAAATTGCACAACAATAAAATTCCCCATCTTTGTAAAGCGTACATTTTCCATTCGAAGGAAAAAAATTTCTCTGCTTTTGTGAAGGCAGCCGCTCAAGAACTGGAACGTCCGTTTTGGCGAGACCGCTTTCATAATTTTCTCGATTGAATCCAGATAATTCTGATAAGCTGGCGTAAACTATAAACCATTAGGAAGTGTAACGTTGTTATATTATGAAACAACAATTTCACAGTTCAATTACCTTACACCAGCTATTACTTAATTTTACCACGCGCACAGTCAATTATTTCATGTGGACAAATATCGCTAAGTAGTGCATACGCTTGCTTCTGGACCATAAACCATCACATTCCTGTCAATAATGACTATAACCTTCACATTTCGTGTCTTTTTTTTGCAGCAATCTGCATGATCGCCGGTTGCGTGTGCTTTCCAGCCGGATGGTCAGAAGACAGCATCCGTAGAGTTTGTGGGGCATCAGACAAGTACGATCTCGGAAGTTGTGGCATACGATGGGCTTACCTACTGGCCGCCATAGGTTGCCTCGATGCCGTTATTTTGGCTACTTTAGCGTTTATTTTAGCTACAAGACACGTGAGACTGCAGCCTGACCCTCATTACGCTCCAGCTAGCTTATTTAAAGGTAATAACAAACTTTTGCTCAGTATTTTAATAACATGGTGAAGAATGTCGGATGTTATTTATGAGGAAACCGTTGTAGATTTCATCGGTGTCGTGCTAATTATGGAATTTTTATGGGTAATTTTTTCAGTAACGCACTAAGGTAACACGCTACCAATATCTGTCGAAAATAAATTAAACCTAGAGGTTTATACAGGGTGCTCCCGACGTTGAGGCGTTGCTTTCAACACGTGGTGTTATCCTTTATTCTGGGGAGATTTAGCTTAAATCATCTTAGTAAAATTTGGAGATCCATTGGGTTTATCTTTTTATAAATTTTATACATTTTTAAAGACGGTCTTGGTCAAATTCTAAATAAAGATTAGGGTTTACAACTAAGTAGTACAATTACAACTAACTGACTAAGTAACACATTTTTTTATAATGCAACTTTTACCAAAGGGATTTAAGCTAAAACCCTTTAGAACAACGTATAGTGGTATGTGTTAAAAAGAATGCTTCAACTTTGAGAACATCCTGCACACTTAACTATTTTTTCCAAAAACATGAAACTACAAATTTAAATAGCCAGTTGAACCTGAATTCACCATTACACATGTAAAGATTTATGCCAAAACTGAACTACTATTCTCTTGAAATATCAACTGAAGCAAATTTTGGACGTATTTATATGACTATTCCATTCATCTGTCAATTGCTTAAAAAGAGCCAATAAAGTTGTACTTTGTGTGGGCGTTACTATAGTTATAATGTATTGTACCGGATATATCTTCCCAGGAAGGTATTCAACTGACAATTTTTAACAAAAGAAAGTTGATGACAAATTAATGTATTTATTTGTCAGTAACATTAAATGTACATTTTGAAAAGGTTACATTCGTACAGTTTTGTAATAAACAAGAAGCTCCACTTATAGTTTTATCATTTACAGTATTGTTTACTTGATTAATTGAATTATTTCGTATTTTAATAATATTTGATTTGTGATGTTCTTCGTCGAGTTGCAAAAATGGCTTAGTTCTTCGACTCCAGCTTTAGCCAAAGCAGACACCGCTGATGAGCGCACAGAATGATTTGATATTTTCCTTCTTTTAATATCTAAACCAGTCATTATTAACGACTTTACTCATGTACCAATTTCATTAACTCCAATGTATTTTTGTACTACACAGCATTTTGTATTCCAAAAAGGATTGGGTATTAAAAACATTCTGTCGGTGTTTATGTTATTTCCTCTTTTCATCATTAGTGGATGATACAGCCTATAAAATAGAACAATTTAACATATGACATAAAATGGGGAAGAAAAATAGCTAACGGGGTAGACGTTGGGGTTGCCTTTATTTTTGGTCAACCCTTTACTACTTGTCCGTGGTTTTGAACCACCTTGTGCTGTTTTTGAAAATACAGGATTATATTCAATCCGGCCTGTAATAAGTCCTTTATTGTCAATTTTTCTGGCATAAAATAGTGTGTGAAACAACTGGCTCCTTCACCACCACGCCAAGCTAATTCAAAAGATGCTATTAAAAAAAATTCTTTTGCAAACCGTCTGCTGTATTTTCATATAAAATTTGTACCATAATTATGAAAGAATTCATTTTCAGTTACTGAGTTTACTGTCCTTTTTTCTGGTAATGTTTGAAGTTTTCTTCGGGTGGCGGTAAATGGATTTATTTTAATATTCCACTCATTGAAATATTTTTCTTGACCTAGCTTCGCTGTTGTATTAAACATGTGTTTAATTACATTTTCCTTGTAAGCAATACCATCTTTTTTTTTATGTTGGAGGCCCAACTTTTCAAAATAGTATTTAAACTCTCAGGAGAAGTAGATTGCTCCAAATTGTAGCCCTTTTCTTTCAAAAAGCTGGAAAATTGACGCCATACCGAGTCGCGTGATTTTTTGTGTTCCATGGTGTCCTTTTGGATATCTCGGCATCTATTTCTTCTTCTGATTTTGACCCAAAATGTCTTTTCTTGCATTTGCGTGTTGAAATCACAGAAAAACATCAAAAACTGCATCAAATGCCACGGAAGTTTTATTTAAAAAAATTATTATTATCTCGGTTGATATGGAAATGAAGGCGTGAGTAACTTAATTTTTTCTACAAGAATTTTCCTTGAATCTCATTCAAAACCTTAACTATTGTGCAAATTTCTAATCATTCAAATCGGTCATCAGCAGTTTCAAATTTAACAAAAAAAGGAGTTTGTGAACAGGAAGTTATTAAAATGACGGGTTACTCAAGTACTAATTCGTTGAAACCGTATTTGCAATTGGATGAAGAGCACCATGCAAATATTGTTAATGTGTTAAGAAGAGATGGAGGAACGAATCAAAACCTTGGTTCACCCGTTATCAATTATAATAATTGCACGTTTAATTGTGGATCGGTTAATTGTGCTTAATTTGTAATCCTATTAGGTAAATGTTAATCTGATTTAAATAAATTTGGTTTTCTGTGCCCTGTTGTGTGCTCTAATCGTTGCATAATCACAACATATACCAATCGTATAATCACAACATATACCAATCGTGGTCCAAATTTACTCTGGAAAAATTTTTTTTTAGTCACTCAATGTTGCAAAGAGATTTTTTCTTAAATAATTTCGGAGGCTTCCACAGTCGGAATCAATACATAATCGTTTTTCGGGATGGAACCGTGTTAATTGAGTTTTTAAAGATTTTTTCTTGACCAATTGCCATTAGAACAAATCACTCGACTGCGTTTCGTGATTTATGTATGTCAATTGATCTCGAAAAAATCTGCTTAAGCAACAATATCAAATCTGGTACCAAAATTAAATTTATCCGAGTAAATTTGAACCACTTATGATATAATTGCCGTGCAGGTAAGCGGAGAAAAATGTTGTTACCTCGGTGGGAATCGAACCCACGCCTCGCACTTTCCGGGCAGGCATCCAGACCACTAGACCACGAGATGATTTGTCTTTCTCCGCTTACCGACATGTTATCGCATTTCAGCTAAGTAAAGAAAACTTAGCTTTGCTGTAATTTCTAACGTCTTATGTCTATATGTGTAATGGTGTAAAGGCTTATATCTTATGTTTTATGATTTTTTTCATAAATTATAAATTAATTCCTCAGCGCTGATTAAGGAAGTATAGTAATCGAGTCCATCGGACGACTTGCTACTTTCATGTTTTCCCGACGTTTTATGACCACCAGAATACGAAAAAAGCGGTCTCCCGTTTCCCTCTGTCTGTGTGTGACTTGGCCGATTATTATCACATTTTGTTTGTTTATTAGGAATGTCATGTAGATGGTAAAACGCTAACCAAAATTTGGCTAATCATCCCCATCAACATTTTGATGACGTCATCTCAAAGGATTCTATTTTTAAATTATTTTAGTATTATATATTTTTTTTAACGGTTACTTATTTTGGGACAAAATTTATTTTCAAAGCCGACACTTCTTAATTTGGGACAGAGGGAATATTTCAAAGAAACGGAATTTGTTGGGTTGCATTTCAAAGTCAAAGGAAGTTTTGTCGAAATAACCTTCGACCAATTTTTTACAATTTAAAACCAATACAACACCTAAAGTTAAATAGAGATAAAATCAGGATGTCTAGGGTAAAAACTCAACATGGATTCATAAACTACACGTATAGGACTCTGTTATTTTATACAATTTAAAACCCATTTGTACATTGTTGGCGGGAATGATTAGATAAAGTTTGGTTAATGCTTTACCACTTACATGATATTCATATAAAATTTGACAACAAGCAGTCCAATAGTTTCGGAGATTGTCTGTCTAACAAAAATTGACCCAGACGACAGACAATATTATCATTTTTAGTGAATCCAAACGATAAAACTGTTTCAAACTACACTACAAAACATAATTTTATTACGCGGTGTGTTAAATTAAATTTAAATTTCGCCAATTAATTTACGGTAGGATAGATTCACAATAAAATAGCAGTAATATTGTTTGTAGTACTTAAAAAAAAAGAAGATAAAATAAAGCCGACAGTCCTTGGTTAAAGCGAGATTTAAACTGTCGCAAGTTTTTATTAACTCAACTTTAGTGGTTTTAACAATTATTTATGGCAGAATTTTTATTTTTATTTTTTATTAAATTATGAAAATTTTGAATAAGCGGTTAATTAAATTAAAATGTGTCGTCTATGGTCTGTCTGTCTATCTGCCTGTCTGTCTGCCGTCTGTGGTTTGCCGTCTGTCGCCTGTCTATCGTTTGTCGTCTATATGTCGGTGTCGATTTTTATTAGACACAACCTCCGAAACGTTTTCAAAACTTTAGATGTATAAAAAATAAAAAAAATATATAAAATTTGTCTACTCAACCCACTAACTATGGAATGGCGTCATCTCCAAAATTTACAACAGTAAACGTTTTTTAAAATTTTTAAAATAATGTACTCATGCATGTGTGATATATGCACCCGTTTTAAGATTATGGGAAGCTTCGTAAATAATTCATTTTCCTTAAAACCAAATGCATGCCGTCGCTGTACAAACGTAAACTGTCGAAGTTAAGCATCTTTTGGGGATGCATTTTTTCCCGTTGGTTATCTGCTTTAAATATATGTATTTCATGTTGTCCGCACTTGTGCCCACCGTACCACGTTGGAATTTACGCCCCCGCGGTGCAAGGGCTGCGGGGTTGTCATTTACGCCACTGATTTTTGCTTTACAAAGGTTACGAGAACAAGCTGAACAAAATGTACCTAACTGTGAAGGTTTAAATGAAAAAAAAATGTTTTATATTTTTTTCTCAAATTGTCACAATACTTCACAGAACAGTTAAGGAATAATTATATCTGCATTTATTGTCGTAATAAAATTGTTACTGGTGATGAAACATGAGTTCATCATTATGATGCACAAAGCAGCAAGAACTGATGCAGTGGAAACACATGTTTAAAGTGCAAAAATCTGCGTGCAAAGTTTTACTGCTTGTACTGTATACATTAACGTCCCATTTTTATACAGCAAGTTACGAATTCACCGTTTTCGTATAATTACATAAACTAACAATGTTTTATTATGTAGAACCTGGCAAGAAAATTACTTACAAAAGCAGTTATCAACTCTGACAATCTAGGAGATGTGGTGTTTGTATCTCTATTAGAAGAACGTTGTTCTTGTATAAAATTTATCATAAAAAACTTCTCAACTACAACACATAAGCTAATATTGAAACTTTTGGACACTCACTCCTCGCAAGTTCTCATAAATTTCTATAGATACACAACGAAACAACAACCACAACTCGAGAATTGTAATGAACTTTGACTTCCGGTTGATCTCAGGTCATGCTATTTTATTTATAGAATAGATGAATTGTCAAATACAGAGTACAGCGATAGAAACCTGGAAACCACTCGTTAATAATCCGTTAAGTCAGGATTTACTAAGATTAACTGCTTTATACATATGTCTTAAGGTCACACCGTAAATGAAAACTGAACTTAATTTTAAAAAAATCACTTAAATTGAAAATCAAACTTTACAAATCAATGAAAATATGTCAATATAACTCAATTGAATGCAAATATCAAATTATCACGATGTTACGAGAGCGGCATTTAACCGTTCCTAGATGATTTTACGTTATTGACAGGTACAACACATGCTCCACATTTCTATGATTAAAACACCTGCCGCATATTATTCTCTTTACCCCGTTTTCGCAAACTAGCCAACTATTAAACCAAGCTGCGCGTTTCACGCGGGCGCGGGTCTCCCTATGAAGTTCCAATTTCCACATCTATTTGGGCAATCACAAAACTGCAAACTTTTACTAGAAGCCGTGTGTTCCGCTTGCGGCACGCTATCTTGTACCTTTTTATTTCAGTCTAATTCAAATTCCATCTCTCTCAATTTTATTACGATGACTGAATTTGTATTTAAATTGCTTACTTAGATTGATTACGCCACACTCTAACAAGCATTTCAACCAACAAAGAATCAAATCAAAATGCATTCGCACATCTCCACGTTACATACAAAAAACACATTCAATATGATTAACATCACAATAAGCTCGTCACCGAAACGTTGCGCTCTAGAGCGGCGTCGTCGAGAATAAATGTTCGAATTCAAGCCGAAAAAAGTTAAACCTACAAGAGAATAACTAGATCTAAAATTATTATTATTATTATATTAGATCTGTAAGAAAATATTAAAACCTTCTCGTTTTTTTCGAGTCCACGAGAATATTAATTGTACAGAAATTTCCCATCCCTTCTCTCAAAATTAAACTAGTTTATAGTGAACCATATGGTTATAGTGATGGCCATATAACCTATAAGGTTATATGGCCATCATAAAAGTAGTTGACCGCAAATAAATACCCCCTTTGTGTGGTTCGCACTAAGCTTACCGGTTGGCAATAAATCATCTTCTAAACATTTCTTGCTCATATTTAACAGGGCCGGCTTTCAAAGCGAGTGGTTATTTCGGAACTTTCAGCGGCTGCAGGTAGTAAAGAAATAGTGGAGTGGTGGATTTTCATATTTAGTGAAAGCCGCCCCTGAACGAAACCACAAGAGCCGGTCGAGCTGTAGTGGACACGTTATTTACGACCCTAAAACCTTTTCTATTGTAAATAACTTAACTTCGACACAATGGGATGATTTTATGATGGCCATATAACCTTATAACTCTTGGTTCACTATAAATGCTATAACTGAACTATTAGCAATCTCGAGTGAGAATCTAAGAAGTGAGTTACAATGTAATAATTAAGTAAAAACACCTAGAAACTTTGAGACGTGATAAATCGGCTCTTTACGGTTAAGTGTCATAAAAATTTGTGAAATCACCAGTTTGAGCCATGATCACATATAATTTCAACTGAACTTTGCAGTATGGTGTTTAACGGATGCAAAATATCGGTTCCAGAATGCGCTTTTTTAACGTGATTTTTAACATTTCTGTTGGTGTTTAGTTTGTTGTAAATTAATTAAGCTTACGATTTATTAAAAATCCTTATGCTGATCCATTTATTTTTTAGGTGAAATGAACAGTGCTTTTGTCGCTGACACTGCCAGCGTCGCGGGGTCTAGGAAGTCACTCAACCTGCATCCAGTTTTACTAATGCATCCCGGGCAAGATGATACATACTCGCAATTTTCACAACGTACAGTCCCAAGGTCTACACACTCAGGTCACTATTCGCATCCACACAGTTTACACCATCATAACTTTCAATTGTAAATTCCTGAACTTTTTATAAATTAAGTTTACTGATACTGATACTATAATACAAAAAATAAAATAACTTATATTAATGGACTTAAATGTGTTACATTCAATCTATCTGCTAACATTTGACAGATTTTTACCAAATCTTTAGCATAACAAATCCCACCTTGATGGTCTACTGTTGACATATGTTGTCTTTCAAAATCTCCAGGTACAATAACAGGTCTTTCGGGATCAGCCTAAACAAAATATTAAGTTAAGTAAATTAACCAAAGAAAAATTCCTACAGGTTGCATGTTTCTGATGTAGTTCATTAAATCACTTAGTCGCTCTTCGAATCCAGGAGCAAAATAGTTGGGATTTACTGCTATAAAGCAGTGTCCAATATTTGCTGCTTGATGAACATCTCCATATCTTCGTACATATGGTCCGTAGCCGGAGTCTCCTAATATTCCACAAAGTATTTCTACAAACATCGCTAATCCGAAACCTTTATAATTTGAACTAGGGTCACTGCCTCCCAGAGGAGTTAAAGCCCCTGTTACGGGATTAGCCCATTCCGTGGGTACTGGAAGTTTCTTTCTGCCTAATATTTCAACCTACAGCAAAAAATGATGGCACAAAATTTTATCAACTGTATTTATCACCTTCCCATGGGCAACTGTTGCTGTCGACATATCTAATAAGAAATAATCTTCATTTGTTGCTGGAGCTGCTACAGAAATTGGGTTAGCACCCAGAGCACCCTGAAAATTATGCTCTTATTACGTCCAACATTTCAGCTCTAATCACCTCTAGAGCACGACTTGGGGCTACTAGCGGGGTAGCATTGCTGAAAGACAAGCCTAAAAAGCCAGCGTCAAGTGCTTTCAAAGAATACATTCCTGCAATACCATAATTGTTGGATCCTAAAAAATCTTTTGTTAACGCGTCCAAATTTATTAAATACAAATACGTTTTGCTACCACCCAGCCTATTCCACACTTCTTTGCTTTCTGGATGGCGAGATTCATAGAAAAATTAGCTACAATTACACCTAATCCATTGTTACCATCAACCCAAGCACAGACAGGACTTTCTTTTAATATTGTTGGTACGGCGTCCTTATCACAACCTCCGTATTCAACCTCATCAACGTAGGTTTCTGAAGTCATTTAAAATATTTATATTTCCACATGTCAATAGAACGAACTAACTTAATTGATAAAGCCCTTCACAGAGGTGTCCCTTATAATCAGCTTGAGTTAAACAAATTGCTACAGCGTCAGCGTGGCTCTCTGAAGTACCAACAGCTTTCATGCAATCTCGGATGAAACGTTGTACCTCGCTTAATGCAAAAATTGGAATGCGTTCTACTGAAGAGTCTTCACAAAAACTTTGTAAAAAGGAAACTTAAAAATATATGTTAAATTTTACCTGAAATTGACACTCCTGCAACTGACATTTTGGAAATAATTTTGTTCTTGTCAAAATGTCAAAAGTTTGTTATATAACGTTAATATCATGTCTCTATGACATCAGTATGTTGTCATAAGGTCTAAACACAACGCGTTCCTATTATGACAGTACAATGGTAGCCCGTTCTTCACAATAAAGAGTGTAAAGATTGTTATGCCTTGAATGAAGTTTTATTTTAATACATGTTTATTCACTTGACACCAAATAGAAGAAGATGCTATCTAGGAAGCTGCTACAATAACTACAATTTACAATACTTCTACTTAAGTAGTCCACTAAAAAATTTGATCAAGACGAATAAATATAACATTTTGTTAGTCAGTAGAGGTGCTTTCCAAGAACTAGATACATACACAGATATTTATAATTCAAATAGATCCTTCAAACTCAAGAATTTAGTTATTAAGGTTTTAATAATACCTCTTAATCAGTGACACCCACCAACATTAACACTTTTGTGTAGTAAAAGTATCAATAATGTATTAAATTCATTTAAATATTGTTAATGCAAATCATATTGCAAAGGTTTAACTTTCAATGTTTCAGCGACTTTTCTACAAGTGTCTAATTGATCCTGTACATAACGTACACCTCCAGCTTTATTTACAGCATCCATATGAAGTTGTTCTGGGTCACCAGGTACTAATACTGGTTTGTCGGTACTAATCTGCAAAAAAGGACTTAAATAAACAGCATAAGTTTTTTCAAAATCTTACAGGTTCCATTTGTCTTAAAGACTGCATAAGATCACTCAAGCGTTCTTCAAATCCAGGAGCAAAACATGATGGATCTATAGCGATGAAACAGTGACCTAAATCTGCAAACATATCGAAATTTCCAAGCATACGAATATTGGGACCGTACGCTCCACCTGTAACAACCTGTCTTTTTAAGAAAATTACAAAATATTTAGAAAACTACCGCCTAGAATGCCACAAAGAACTTCAACAAGTAAAGCGAGACCATATCCTTTGTAGGAGGAATTATTTTCGTCACCGCCCAGAGGATGAAGTGCACCAGTGTCTAAATCTGCCCATTGAGGTGGTATTGCAGATTTGGTTCTGTTTTTCATTTCAATTTTCCCGACGGCAACGGCGGAGGTAGCCATGTCCAAAACAAAGCTATCTGCATTGAGACCAGGGGCAGCTAATGATAGTGGATTTGTTCCAAGGGCTGCCTGCAAATATATTGTTATTTTAATTTTTCCAGTTCATTCTGAATTGAGTACATGCTTGGTTCTAGTAGGGGCTACGACAGGTGACGTATTGGTAAAACTTAATCCCAAAAGACCTTCCTTCATTGCTTGTAATGCATACATTCCTGCAATTCCATAATGATTCGATCCCTTGCAGACGACCAGTCCTATTCCTACTTTTTTAGCTTTCTGAATTGCTATTTCCATACCGAAAGTGCCGACTACAACTCCTAGACCATTGTGGCCTTCAACCCAAGCAGTTGCTGGGGTTTCTTTTAAGATTTCGGGAGCTGCATTTACTTTACATATCCCGTTTTGAATTTCTGACAGATACATTTCTACACAAAGAAAAATAAAGTTTATGATTTTGTATTGGTTTGATGACTGCTATAGTGCCAGTTATGAAGAAAACACATCTACATACCGATTCTATTCATGCCATGACTATAATGTCCTCTGTAATCTGCTTCGACTAAAATATTTGCTAAGGCTTCGGCGTTAGATTTTGGCGTACCAACAGCCAACATACAATCTACTATGAAGCGTCGGCATTCATGTAGTGGTATTATAGGAGTTTCTTAAAATACAAGTTGCCCGTTATTACAAATAATTATTGCATATTAATTACCTGCTTCGACCAGTTTTGTAGACATTATTCTGTTTCACTTTTAAGAAAACAATTTGTATGTTCCAGAATGAATTGTGGTCGATTTTAAACTAAGTAAAGGCATTGTTACTGCATAAACCTAAGAATTAATGAGAATTATCTAAACAAGAACTGTAAATAAAAAGAGATAAACCTTATCAGCATATTACATTATCATATAAAAGGTCAGTGTTTTCACAAAACCATTAAATTATTCTTCAGTTAATAAAAATACTCTTTAGAAATGTCCTAAAAAGATGTAATATTTATTGATACATTGAAATAAGACTTTTGGACATTTTTTCGTGCCTAATCACCTATTTATCTCCATCTTTAAAAAAAAAAAGAAACAATATTTTTACAATTAAAATACTGAAAACCACTAAAAAAGAGATTGAAAATGATATATCGAAAGAAAGCCTTAGGCAGGTATGGGATTCCGGAAGTTATTTTGCGAAAATGAAATGGCTTAAACAAAATACGATTCCTACTTCATTGGGGAGATTTAAACTAGATTTTCCAGCGAATATGGGACTTTGTTTGACAGACCACATAAAACATTGGATTCTTAGTTTTATGGAGTAATACTAAAAGAACTCAGAAAAATTGCGTTTGAACGTGCGGAACGTCACAATTTAAATCATCCATTTAACAAAGAATTGAAGTTGACCTGAAAAGAGTGGGCAACTCACTTTTCCAAAAAATTTAATCTAAGTTTGCGCCAACCGGAAAAAATCTTACTAAGTAGGTATACAATATGGACGAAACCAGTGTGTTAACAGTGCCCAACAAAATACCAAAAGCGGGTAAAGTCGTTTCTGGGGAGAGATGTCAATTAGTGACAACTGTGTATTTCCACGAAAACACCAAAAACCTGAATTATTAAATGATGCGTACAATTCAGATGGTTCCAGATACGGGATTTATCAACATCGAATTGTTTTTACGATTGTTTCAACATTTTCAGAAGCCAGTAAGATCTTCGAAAGAATGCACAATTTTATTAGTTTTTGATAATAATCATTCTTCCCATTTAAGCTGGGCTACGTTGAATTTTTGTCGTGACAATGGTATGATCAATCTTGCATCCCATACGAGTCATAAGTTATAAGCCTTGGATATTGCGATATACTTATCCCTCTAGACCATTTATAGTGAGGATGCAGATAAATGGCAAGTATCTCACCCAGGAAGAACTGTTATACAATTTCAAGTTCCTGAAATTTCTGCCGATGCTTCCAACAGAATTGAAGCTTGAAACTAATTCAAAAACCTTTATACAAGGTATTTTAGAGCTAATGGTGGTAATTTTGGCTGCCAGAAATACTGGAAATTATTCGTGAATGAATTATACAGAGTTATTTACGAGAAGCTACACGCCTGAAAAACACACAACGCAACCAACAGCACATAGCAGTCTTCGATATATTTATCATCATTTCTGTCTAAGTTAAACATAGCTGGTTGTTTGGTTCTTGATAATTTGATCAAAAGTGCATATCGGTTGTTTGGTTATCACTGACGAATTCGACTAACCATCTTATCATTCAGAAATTCCACTTATAGGTACTACATTTTTCCAACCTAATCAGGTGATGTCAAAGTAAATATCTAGGTTCTCGTAAACCTGGTCAACCAAGATTTATCTAGAAATATACAAATAACCACTTTTGTACTGATAAAAACAACTGACTGACTCCAATTTTTCTAAAATTCACAAATCAACACAAAACTGATCTTATTCGAATATTCTTATCTATGAGTATATACGTTACACTTATAATTTGTGTAATATGGAAAAAAAATCAAAAAATATTTATTTGTATATTGATTTATTTATTTATTTAGTTATTTTTGAACAATATATAAATATTTCATTTTGTTCTATACTCGATGGAGAATAGAAAAATTACTTCTTAGTGGGAAAGAGATAACAAATTCAAATTGGCATTTTCATTAAAATTTAATACCTAATCTAACGAAAGAAGCACGGGAAAGTATAAGCTTAAGTACTTACTCTAATGGAGATCAAAGGCAGTAATTTGGTTATAAATTGTTATGCGTTGTTCCTTCTTACAACCAATTGGCAAACATGATCTTCCATATTGTTAACACGTTCATTTCCAAAAAAATGATATACACTCTTTACTAATCTAATAATCTACATTTACATGAAGATAGGAAAAATACACCTAGTATCATGCAAAATAAGCAAACAGATTTATCGATTTTCCGTAATCAATTAAAACACCCTTTTTTCTGTACTTATAACAATTATGTAAACTAACTAAATTATCTCGACGTCAGTATTTGCTAATGGGTAATGGATATAAAAATAGATAGATATCCAACAATTACAAAAAAAAAATGTATACCGGCCAACATAATAATTTGACACAATAAATGTTTTAAAATTAGAACAGTTTTTCTTATATGAAAAAAGATTTTATTTTGAGGGTGGCACTTGATTAAATAGTAAAACTTAAATAATACTGCCACCCTCAAAATAAGTTTAAAGTATGTGCAACAATATTCGAAGGGCTTATCAACGGTGTTAGGGGGGTTAGAAACCGAGTCACGGTTGAACGTTATAAAATCATTTGCCCTATTTAATTGTGGTACGTCTTCTCGTCCGAACACTTTCTTTATCTAACTAGGTAGACGTTTAAAGAAATATTGTTGCAGGCATAAGTTTTTCTTTAACACGAAGTGGCATACCTTTTCTGCAGAAACAAAAGGCAAAACAGAATCTAAGAACTAAAGTCGGATACAAAACGCCGATGTTACAATTTTGCAAGGTCTGAGAAAGGATGTATATTCTACTGAGATAGACAGATGCCTTAGCAACAGTTCCAACAGCGCGTACGGGTCCGGTTCACCCATGTACCTACCTATATTGTATTAACGAGAAACTCTGCCACGAAATTTACAAGAAAGACAAAAAAAAAGAGAATCTACTTTTCTTTTACACTTTCCATAGTTTGAAGATAGAGTCTATGTATTTCATAAGCCTCGGAATATGTAAAACGAATACACGATATATTAAATCTGTATTCTATGGTCTGATGGTAGTATCAGTACTATCAGTACGGTGGCGAACAGCTGCAGTGTGGTTGCAGTAGAAGCCGGAAGGCCATCAGACAAATCCTGTGTTTGGTTGAATCCCTCCTTAAACTGACATGTGAAAAAAAATTGAAAAGCCCACGAAAAATTCAAAAATTGGGCTACGTTGTGTGTGTTTTCTTTTTTTGTGACGGAATGCGTTCAAATGCAAGTGGTGGACCCCAAGGTTGGAAAAGTACCGCTAAATAAAACACAAAATTTATAGAGGACACAAAATCATTTATTCCTCCACTGACAAAAAAATAAGGAAAAAAAGCTGCGACTAAGTTGTGCCGGTTGAAGACACCTCTTAATGCTCAGTTACAAAAAAAACTTTGAATGAAATCAAAATAAACGTTCTGAACCAATGCAAATATTTGAATATCACAAATTTAATAAAAACAAAGAAAAATCTGAGTTAAAGTAACTGGATGCAAATACACAAGTTATTACGGGCGTGTGGCGGCAAATTTAAAATTATGGCAGTCAACAAAAGAACAAAATTCTAATAATAAACTGTGCAGCGGCAGCGGCACCAGAGCGGTGTAAGAGTGTGTCGAACGAACTATTACAATTTCATTCTGAGGCATAGCAAAATTATCCGTAGTACGAGCGGAGTTTGGAGCTTCTGGTCGTGGCTGTTCTCCTACCCACGACGGTGATTCTATTCTATCGCAAAGCACTCGTGGTTGGGTCCCGGCTATCACGAATCCGCCGGCGTCACGTTATCGCGACCGCCCCGGACTTCTATTCTAGGCCTGCATCCATTGTGTAGATGGCGCGACCGCCAACTCGACAAGGAACCGCGCACTCCGCTTCCCCCACGTATCATTGTGTTATTTACTTCAATCTATTTAAATGTTCAATTTCTATAACTCTAGTATTAAACTACAAGTGAACAACTGTTAAAGTTTCAAAAAGAGCAATAAACAACATTTAAATTCGCCATACACTGTCGTGAAATTTTTAAACAGCAAAGAATAAATTCTTATCTGCGATTAAGAGATTGGACATCAGATAATTTATATGATGGAAACATTCATCAACAAAATATTTACATAAAAAAAACTAACAAAGATTTATAAAAACAAAAGATCTGGTGTGAAATAAAACTTGAGCAAACAAAAGAAAATTACATGAGGTTAGAAACTGCAGAGCATGAAATTTACGTTCAATTTACATTATACAGCAAAGAAAATCACTGACACCAAAATTGTGAGACAGAGAAAAATTGCATGAGGTGAAAATTGCAAAGATTACAAAATTACATGAGTTTAATATTTTGTGTAGCGCTGTAGAAATCAAAGCAATAAAATACACGTCCCACATGACCCACAATGTTGTTAATTTGTTCAGCGAGATTCTACAGTTCAAACATGTGCTCGGTTCGAAAATACTCTTTCAACATGGCCGCCGTCAGAACAAAGAATTTGCCTGATGTTAAATTATGCCAAACCTAATCAACGATTCAAACAAAGAATTCACATCATGTTAAATGATGCCTTGATCCAAGTGATTAGTTTTGAGAGTTTACATCGTGGACTGTCCCCAGCTTATCCCAAACAAAACACATGATAAATAAACAACCAGGCGTTGCGAGAAAAGCTTCTCGGTGATGTAATTTTCCACATTGCGAGAGAATGTGTCTCGGTGATACTTATAATTTTCACGTTGCGAGAAAAATGTATAATCCCCCCGTAGCTCAGTCTACGATATTATGAATTCTACCGCACCTTTACGGTCCTTTTCCCAGAGTGGGATAACGTTAAGCTAATTTTAACTGACGTAAATGAACTATTAGCAATCTTGTGTAAAGAATTAAGAAGGGTTTTAATCAAAGCACGGAATAAAATCTCAGGTGCTCGATTCAGTGCTGCCGCGTCGATACTTTGATTACAAATGTATTTTCTTTTTGGACTATATCAACATAATATAACATTTCAAGATAACAAATCTGTAGTCCTGTGGTTGAAAAATTAAAATGGGCACCGAGTATTATTATTTGAAGTAATATAGTACTGTAAAAGTAGTATTATCAGCTGTGAATACTCCTAGCGCGACGCACTGGTGAGGGCCTTGTGGACCAGAACAAAGCGTCCCCACATTTAAACCGTAAAACACACCTTACTTTAACTGGGGGACTGTAGCAGTAAGATATAATTTCGGGCACTGTTTATAATGTAACACTTAAGTGTAAGCATCCAGAAACCTTAAGTATTCATGATTTGGTAAACAAGGGGTGAATCCTGACTAAGGGAATTTCATGAAAACTCCTGCAAGTGCTCTATGTGAACAAATCTAATGTCTGTTAAATTGTGTTAGAACCAGTTGACGATTAAAATCCTAACATAAACTCCGACTTTACAAACAATAAAACAAATTTACATCACATGTTAGCGTAGGTCGAAAATTCACTCATTTCCAAACTTGGAAAAACCGCAAGAATTAGCTACGCGTGTTGGGGAAAACTGTTACTGGTAAAAATCAAATTATGGCAGGTGTCTCACCAAATGGAAAAAATGCCCGGTGAATTATAACCTCCCACCACAAAGTTCAAGACAATCGGAGTTAAAAAATTTAGTCTGGCTTCAGTGATAGAGTATATGTATACTATTATGTTGGAGAGAATAGACTGAGCTCAAATGGAAAAAACAAGAATGTCTGTGATAAATCCTAAATATATGATTAAAAATTAGTATCATTTAGTTCAATTAGCAATGGTGACTAGGTCATTTTGGAACTACCAACAGGCCCTCTGTTTTTTAATGCTTGTTGTACTGGATATCTCATTGTCATTATAAAGAAAAAAGGCACTAAGACATCGTGAAGATGTAGATCTAACTCTGGATATCCAAAGTTTTTACGATGATGTCCATTCAATCTCCACAGCGGAAGATCTGGACGCCTGGTTTATTAATCTACCCCATTATCAACTGAGCAACAATGCCCACAAGAGGGTATTTTTACCGCCCTTTCTGTTAATTACTTAACGCTGTCTTATTCGAGACGTGGCTAACGAAAAAACGAAATAACATTGCAATGTATAGGGTTTCTCTAAATGATTATAGGGTCGCAGTAAGTCATGTAAACGTGCCGCCTCTGCGATTTGGACTGTACTAAATGCCCAAGGACGCATGACAAAGACCACACGCATCTGTATAACTGATAGCCTAAATGTATCATATCTTTATAAAAAAATAAAATTAATTCATTACAATAAAAATAACAAATTTACTGCGGTTCAACAGTAAATGTTGAAAATGTTTACCACTTTGTTCAAGTCACATGTTCACTCTCTTCTTAATTTCAAAAATGTTCTGAACATCCTTTCGTCAATGTTTTGGACCCATTGTTCAAGTTCATGTTGTAACAAAAAGTGCTGACTGCTGAGGAAATTTTGTCAAAGAAATTTGCGGATTCTGCTCAAGTCGTCTCAAATTATCAACCACTTCCTCAGATACTGAAGGTCTTCCATGCGATTTCTCTTTGTTGACACTGCCAGTTCGAACAAATCTGTCGATTACGTCCCTAATGTAAGCCTCTAATAATGTTTCTTGAATTATTAAATCACGCTATTTGGCCTGATATTCTTGTTTACGAGCTGTTACAGAATACACGTACTCTTCGTCCCATTGCGATAACAAGACGTAACAATGAAAGTGTCTTCTTCAACAGAATAAACCATTTTCACAGTCTTCGCGTCCAACTACAAAACAAAATTTTCGTACGCAACCACCAAGAGTTTTGAAAACGAGTGTTTTGCTGTTTTGAGATTGGATCAACGAGAATTACTGTAGTTGACACTTGAAAAACCTTAAAACAATAAAAACGACGACTTTAAACGACAGGTTACGAATGACATTAATGACAAGTGGGAACTGTCATAATGAGGCATAATTTCAGCGAAGCGGGATTTTTGAAATCCATGGCCAACTACTCCCTTAGAATCATTTATAAAGCCCTGTATAATGGTCTAAATAATGTTTGTATTTAGGTTTCTAGTATTTGTGCCAGGGACCACAACTGCTTTAACTGTGACCACTCTTTGACTCGCACCCGGAAAGATTTTCAGGGAAAACCCATCTTTCCTAGGCACATCTAGGCATAAGATTCTGGCAACATCTAAATGTAGTGGAATGGCAGTCAATATCCTGATCAGCTATTTCAACTTTTAATCGGATGAACAACGTATAGTCTCAATCCGGAGGAATCAGTACCTCGAGGGTGACGAACGATATCATTTGAAATATTTTATTTTACACACTTATTACAAAGGAAATATGAATAACACGTAAAAAAGGACTTAATATGTTTACCTGAATTTTTTACGAGATATGCTGAAAAAGAGCGCAAGCATATATATATAACAACTGACAGGTTGGAGGGACCTCTGATGACAAATAGAGGATGAGACTCTTATTCAGAGAATGTGAGCACTTTAAAAATTGTGCGTGGAAACGAGTATGTAGTGAGAAGACAAGTTACAATTTGTAGAACATAATATTTGCAAAACGATTATATGTAATCTAAAACATCATTTCTCGCAATGAGCGGGCCCAGTCCAAACCTGTGGGGCGTTTAGAAATTGAGGACGCCGGGTGACATAACAGGTGGTGGAATAAATACTGGATATCCACTTTGTGACTAGGGGATTTTTGATGTGCCTTGAAAAAAGAACTAGAATGATACGCCATTCTTACGAGTATCTGAAGTCGTGGGTGTACTATTTTCTGTCTCGAGGACAGGTGTTGAAGAAGATCTGATCCTGTAAACGGAAAAAGTTTGTTTAGAATAAGGTTTTATGAGTTAGCGTTACCCGTGTGGTAGACGGGAGGATAGTACGTTATTTTGAACACACCTTTATGTGATGATTAACGTAAATATTCAAGTGTATAGCCCTTCATATCCAGTAGAAAAATGAATCCGTTTCAAAAGATAGATTTACTAAATCTGGAGTGATCAGGTTCACCAACCTGGACAGACAGCCTCGCATTTCCCATTGGTTCGAACGTGCAGCAAATAGTGGTTTTTCCCTTCGAGGACGAGCCGAAAGATACGAAAGCATGACCTCTCATGTTCCACTAACTTAAAAGCTACAGCAACAATGAAAACACCTACATACGTTTACTGAGAATTTATATTTCGAATAGATGTACAAAAAATTTTGAATTAAGTGTTGAACACCAAGGATTGCATTTATCGCTGAAGGTTTTTCTTAAAGACCGTTCTTTCAATGTTATTACTTTGTTGCAGCATTTGTGAAAGTTAGTTATTACGAGTACTTAGTAAGAAATGTAATCACAAGTTAAATAAAAACTGCATACCAGTACTTTTGTCCATGTCGAGTAAAAAAATATTATATTTTTTAGAGTATAACCTATCAGTATAAAATAAATTTAGATTTCACAGCGCAATAAAACATGTATTCTTTTTTTTTTAATGTAAATTTCTCAGATAATTACAAATTTGGCACAACAAAATTATGTCATGTTGGTATCAATGGCTTTACTTTCAGAGATTCCGCTAACGATTTGCAGGTATCGAGCTGATCTTGGACGTACCGCACCCCTCCAGCCTCATCAACTGATGCCATATGAAGTCTTTCGGGATCTCCCGGAACCAAAACTGGTTTAGCAGGATCAGCCTAAAAATCCAAATCAGTATTTTCACCATCAATCATGAAAAAAACACATTTACCGGTTCCATATTCCTCAAAAATCCCATAAAATCACTAAGCCTTTCTGGAAACCCTGGCGCAAAGCATCCTGGATCGATGGCAATGAAGCACTGACCCAAATCGGCTTTTTTACTCGAGTCTCCCCATTTGCGTATGTTAGGCCCGTATGCGCTGCCCCCTAACATGCCGCAAAAGATCTCTACCAACACTCCCAAACCGTATCCTTTGTATCCCGAATTCAGTTCAGGTCCTCCCAACGGCATCAATCGCTTAGCGTCGTAGGCAACATGGGCGTCCATCGTGATATTCCCAGATTCGTCCTGCGCCCAGCCTTCGGGGATGGGTTCGTGTTTCCTTTTTTGAATTTCAATCTGTGTTACAATTAATTGTACTGATACTGATTGTCTGCGAATCACTGGATACCTTTCCAACAGCGACGGCGGTGGTTGCCATGTCTAATACGAAACTGTCTCCGTTAGCAGCGGGGGCCCCGAGGGATAAAGGATTGGTCCCTAGGGCTGACTAAAATTTAAATTAGAGTGTTGAAGTGGTTGATGACGAATACACGTACCCCTTTCGCTCGAGTTGGTGCCATCAGAGGCGATGTGTTAGTGAAACTCATTCCTAAAAGACCCTGCTCCATTGCTTGCAGACTGTATTTACCAGCAATTCCGTAATGATTCGATTCTGGAAAAGAAAAATATTCTTATATCATTTTACAGGTTGAGGTAGCCACAACACACTATAACTAGTGAAACTAGTTTTCGACTGATTCTGAGGTCTTCATATTGAGATGGCGGACATTTAAAAAAATGTGCCGCTCTCACTACGTATCCAGAAACCCTTTATAATTTAGATAAGCAGTGCTGGCCTATATTTTAAATCTCTTTTAATAGGATGCATACGTTTCAGCAAAATTCTCCTGCAGGTGAAGAAAAAAATGAAGATTTTAGATATGTTATCAGCTTTGGAGCTAATCAATTCGTGATATTGCAAAAGGATTAATAAAAAAAGTAATTTGTAGATATATACGAGAAAACTAAAGATTATTCTATTAATCCAAACTTTTGATTACTCGATGACAGAAGATTAACGCATAGAAAAAAATCTTGTTTTGTGTTTGCATCAACTTCAAATTTTTGAGATATCTTTTTCTCATAGAACACAATCTAGTACTTTTAGTAGAAAAAACATGGCTGATAATGAGTTGTATAATGTTACTTTCTTTAAGTCATTCATTATCTAAAATTTTGATTAGAATGAGTGACAAAACATGTACAAAGGTCTACAGAGAATCATAAAGAAAGGTATACAGGAATGACTATTGACAATGCACCGACCTAAACAACAGTAAAACGGAAAACTACTTGTTTCGAGAATTATAATTAAATTGTTGACATTAAATATTATAGCAGTAGGTATTACAATGTTTACAAAGAATGCATTAGACTCTGTATCAACACAAAAAGAATTAATAACATTTGTCACGTATGATGTCATAATTACAACTCCAAAAATATCCTATGGTTATTAAAATCTAGGATTTTTAAGAAATACAAAATACGATTCTTACCTTTAACAACTACCATTCCAATACCACTTTTTTTTGCCTTCTCTATTGCTAAATCCATGCAGTAAATGCCTACCACCGCTCCTAAGCCATTATTTCCATTTACCCATGCTGTGGCAGAAGTTTCCTTAATAATGCAAGGCGCCGCTTTAGGATCGCAAAGTCCTCCTTGCACATCTCTCACATACATGTCTAACAAAGAAAATATACGTTATCATTACGAAGAAAAATAAAATTCATTACAAACCTAAACGATTCATGCCATGACTGTAATGCCCTCTGTAATCTGCTTCTATTAAATTTTCTGCTAAGATATCTCCATACTCCCTAGGAGTTCCCACAGCTACCATACAATCACTTATAAACCTTCGGGCGTCAGAAAGCGCAACGATAGGGGTGCCTGGAGAAATAAAGAAATAATAATGCTTAATAATACATGAGGAAATCTTACCTATGTCTAAAATTTTAATGGACATTTTCCTGCGTGCGACGTTCAACGTTTGGCGGCCTCGAGCGATTTGACAACGCTTGAAAAAGAGAAACGCACATCGTGTTGAGATGGACGCCATTGTGGAAGGATAAAGATAACAACTGAAGATAAATTTAATTTATATAAAATAACGCATATCACGTTTGATTTGTGTTTAGGATTAGAGTTGATAAGTCTGTCGAAAAGTAGAGTAGTGGAACAACACTACCAAACAAAAGGTAAATGGAATTTTTTTAATAAATTTTGTTGCTAGTGGCCAGATTATCACAATCAGTGCTTGAATTAAAAAGTAGTAGATATTATTTTAACAAACATGTTATACATTTATTAATATACATTATTATTATCTGAATGTATTTATCTTTGTGGCAAACAAAGATTATTTTCCTGTCTTCAATTAGATGTTTGCAATATCTTTTTATTGCATCCAACAAACAACAGTTTATTTACAAATGTTTTACCAAAAAAATTATTAACTCAAAAATATAAAACGTATTAACGAGTACCACCTGGATATGAAGGTATATTTTTAATACATAAATCTAAATAATTTTTTGTAAAGCATATAAACAATAAACTTAAACGGAAACTTACATTTTTGTGTTCTACATACAAGCCAAAAAATTAAATCAGAATTCGTCAAAATGAATCTGTAGTGAGTACCTAAATAATTAACTGGCACAGATAAATTATAAATGAAAATTACATTAGGTAAACAATGGTCCTACTTCCTTATCATCCACTTGTCGTTAACGTTTACTTAATACTCCTATTTGTTTATTTTTACAGTTTACTGTTAAGGTTATTGTAATTAGTGTCATATTTATGGTGTTACATCAAATTTTTACATTTTTATTATTTGGAGTAGTTCAATAGGAGAATAATTTAAATAGAAATTCACGTAGCAGATTTTTAAAAAGGCATTTGATTCAAATTTTTGGATTTGCTTTTATTATAAACATATCTAAGTAAATCACCTTAAGTAAATATAAAATTATAAATAGAAACATAAATATTGCAATATTTGCACTTAAGGTTAGAACACGTAAAATTCCAACTTTGTTGCAACAAGAAATACTATACACAACATTAAATAGTTAGCATCCACATTCATTCATAATTAATTTGTGCAAGAATAAGCTTTACGACGAACAACAGCCAGTGAGCTTTTTTTAAACGAATATTTTACAGCACATTTTTAAAAAAGTACTAGAAAAGAAAGCTAGGGAGAACGTTTCCCAATCAATCATGTCAGAAGATTCGTTTTATTAAAGTATTATAAACAAAGAAAGCATTTTAGCAAAATTAAAAAAAATGCTGTGTACTCTATAATGATAACGATCAGCGAACGCAGTGGAATTTTTAGTAGATGTTATCGCACAGCATCGTTTTATTAAGTGGATTACGTTACTAAAAAGTGAAAAAGTAATACAGGAGATTAAGAAAATAAATTATATTATATCGGTAGGTACGGATTACCGGTATTATGAGCACAGAGAATAACCACGAAAAATATATGTAGTTCGAAAATCACGGTCCAGTTCGAAATAAGAAAAAGACTTCCTTTAAAACAAATTATGTTTGTTGAGAACAAAAAAAATCTTTCAAAATGTTATAAGTATTTATACTATTTGAATTTTGACTCCGTTACAACTAATCTTATCAAAGCTAATATTTCTCTTCCAATATTGATTAATAAACACACTACAACTAATAGTAACTCTGACAACATCTTTTTTTAATAAACTTAATATTAACTATACAAAAATTGCAAGGACGTTGAAACATTGAGTAAATGAAAACTATTTGAAAACAAATTGAGACAATGGTACCAATCGTATTGAATTTAATACTATAAAATATTCTTCCATTATTAAAAAAATAACGACTGCATTTTTGTTTATCTTTCAATGTTAGTAGAAAACGTATCTTTACTCTTTTTATTTAAAAAAGCACAACATAAATTTCAAGTAATTTAAAAAATATGTTCAAGTCGACGACTTTTTTTTCGCAAAAACATCATTAATTCTGAAGTGTAGGTACAATACAGTACTAATCAGTAATCAGTAATCACAATGTTGATAATGATAAAGCACTCTTAACATAACTGATAAACTAAATCGGTATACTTTTACATTTTTTTTTTGCATTCTACGAAATCAGTCGTGAAATACTTCATTTTATAACGCATTTTTCAATTAATTTTTTTTTTTAATGACGTTATCATATATCTGGAAAACACGAAAAACCAATCCTCGCATTGAAACCACACCTTAAAAGTACAAAATCTGATAACAAATATCGACACCCTTGGTTAACCAAATTAACATAATTATATCCTAAGGACTTGAAAGACATCTAAGATAATTTTATCTTTATTTTTAAGTATTTCTATATATTCGAAATAATTCAAAAATTGAAAATAATTAATTAATTCTACTTTAATTTTAAACAATTTCCTTAATTTTGTGAACAATTAAAAAACATATGTATATATTTTACTAATACTTGATTTTTCATATCTACCAAACTTTAAATGAACCTTGACCCTTGTGTTTATCCAATATATTTTTGACGATAGCTTTTAATTATAAGTAACTGATTTCATACATCCCAGACCTTATTTTATCCTTCGTGTTATGATAAAGTCTTTGAAGGCTTTGTCTGATTTTTTTATTCCAGGCCCTTTGAAAGTGTTTTCCAATCTCTTGATAGGTACTTCAAAGGTAAATGGGTTTACGACCTATTTTAGTTTCTCTAATTGTTCTCATTGAAAAACAGAAAATTCATTTATAACCCTTTTTATAATCTTTACATCGAAGTCGTTTTAATGCGTTCAGATCTATTATGTTGAAATCGTTACACTTAACTTCCAAAAATCGATATTTTCACTACAAAATTTTAATAATAATTTTACCAAAAAAAATTCTAATGTCAAGCTCAGTATTTTCAAATGTAAGTTTGCAGTTTAGCAAGAAAAAATGTCAAGTAAGTTTGGTACAAAAGGAGCTATCAAACGAGGTATAAAATATATAAATAAGATATAAAAAAAACCAACGTAACATTTCACATCAGAGACTTGTAATCAAATGATGATTTGACTTCAAGATATACTTATATATATTAAGCTTCTCGCAGGCAATTTAGACCCATAGCTTTGAGATGCGTCTCCATTCCCTTCGGCTTTTTGCGTTTTTCCTCCAGTCCTGTATTTGTTTTTCTGCTAGGTCTTTCTCTATCGCTTCTTTCCACTTCTTCCTTGGCTTGCCTCTTTTCCTTTTGCTACGGAATTTTTCACGGCACCATTTTAACTTCTCTTTCTTGAGTCATTCTTTCTAGGGGTCCTAACCATTGCAATCTTTTTATTTTTATGAAATTATCATATCATCTTCACTAATACTTCTTTCCCATCCTCCTTCTGTTTGTTTCCCTCCAAAGTATCTTCCTTTCCCAAATTTCTAGTCTTTGTTTCATTTTATTTGTCATAATCCATGTCTCGCACGCGTATGTTAGGGTTGGTCTTACTATGGTTTTATATATTCTTAGTTTTGTTTGCCTTGATATTTCTTTACTTTTCATCATTTTTCTTAATCCTCCTGCACAGTTGTTACTTTTAGCAATTCTCAGTTCTATTTCTTTGTCTTCTTGGCATTTGTTGCTTATCAACACCCCTAAGTACATAAACATTTCTACTTCTTCAAATTCTACTTTTATTCCTTCTAGTCTGTCTATTTGTAGGTTGTTTTTATTTCTCCTCCCACAGTTATTCTTTAGTTCCATATATTTTGTTTTTTCTATATTCTAAACCTACCTCTTCTGCTTGTCTCATTAGCTTTGTTGTTGCTTTCTACTTCCTTTCTGATCCTAGCTAGTACGACTAAATCGTCTACGTAGGCTAGACATTGATGGCTTCTATTGAATAGTAGACCTTTCCTGTTTATATCACTTTTCCTTATAATACTCTCTAAAACCAAATTGAATAGAGTTGTTGAAAACGGATCACCTTGTCTGAGTTCTTGTTTAACTGAAACTGTCGCTAGTTTTTCCTTTTACTTTTACTCTGCTTATTGTGTTTTTCAATGTCATTTTTATTAGATTTATTAGTATTTCGGGAATATCTAGTTCTCTCAATATGTTTATTAATTTCGTCCTGTTCACCGCATCATAAGCTCTTTTGAAGTCCACGAAGAGTAAATGAGTAGGAATTTCATATTCATAGTTTCCTACCATGATTTGTTTTAACATAAATATTTGATCGATTGTCCCTGTTCCTTTTTGAAAGCCTCCTTGATGCCCTCCTAGAGCTTCTTCCATATATCCTTCAAGTCTTCTTTTTATTATCGATGCCAGTAGTTTGTACGTAACGTCTAATAACGCAACCCCACGGTAGTTTTCGCAGCTTCTTCTGTCACCTTTTTTAAAGAGCGGCATATTAGTGCTTCTTTCCAGCTATCCGGCATTTCTTCCGTTTCCCAAATTTGCTATATTACCAGCTGGATATCGTCTTTAAGTTTTTCACCTCTATATTTTAGATTTTCTTTTGTAATTCCATTTCTCCCTAGGCTTTTGTTATTCCTCATCTGATTTATGATCTCCTCTATCTCTTCTTTTGTTGCCATTGCTTAAAGTTCATTTTTTTGGTACTTGTTTTTGCTCTTTTCTCTGACCTCCTCTGATTTCGCTATTTAATATTTGTTCGAAGTACTGTTTCCATCTTCTTAATTTTCCTTCATCCTCGCCTATTAAGTTGCCTTCTATATCTTTTATATATTGCGTAGGTTCGTATTTTGTTATGTCTTTATAAAAGTTTCTTATCTCTTTCTTCTGGTATGCTTCCTATATAGTTTTTTTTTGTCTTTCAAAAGAATCTCCTTTTTTCCTGCGACATATTTGCTTAACTATCTTTCTTTGACTGTTATAATTCTTTGTGTTTTCTTCGTTTATTATCTGCAGCATTTTCATTCTGAGTAACTTTTTATGTTTTATTTCTGCTTCGCATTATTCGTCTAACCATTCTTTCCATTCTCTTGCTTTTGTTTTACTCACATGTCTTTTTGTCGCTTTTGTTACTATTCGTCGTATATTGTTCCATTTGGTGGTTATATTTTTTTCTTTTGAAAGATCTTGGTTTTCGAGGTTTGTTTCTGTCTGTTTCATATTTTGTTTTGATTTCTTGTGCCTGCAATTCTTCTGTATTATACCTTACTTCGTGATTCCT